TACAATTCGCCTTTGGGGCAAGATATTATGAAATAGTATTGGAGATACAACTGTCGGATATCGCAAGGTGCGGTGGTTCAGGATTGAATCAGTATTTCTAATGTTGACGGTTCGATAAAGATGACCTTCGGAAAGGTTTAAAGTTAGCAGCAATTGTGGGTTCAAGTGCCATGAAGATAGACTTTATTTAAGACAGCCACTAAATATCAAAGGACGAGGAAGGACATGTGGGAAGCGTCAGGCGGTGTTCAAAAATTATAAAAAGGCTAGGTATATGAAGCAAAGGTCGAGTAGTTGATTAAGGGGATGAGTTCCGCCAAAGTGGGAGAGTGGCGGAGTTGCATATGGATTTTGCAATGGGATTACCATGTACCTTAAGGAGGGTTTGGAGCGATTTGAGAATATTAGTGCTTGGTTATTGGGGTCTACGGATCTAATTTGAAGTAGGGATTTTTGTGCGTAGGAGATTTAATATAACGGAAATGAGCCGCTTAAATGGAGAAGATGCAGCATAACTTTGAATTGGAAGGATGTTGCCGCACATTTAAATGATGTGCACGAGGGGTAAATGGACCTGTACAGCTGGAGAGTGGGCTCAGACTCAGGATGGGTTATTGATGTCGTAGTGATTGTACCCCGTGCAGGAGCGTTGGAAGATGCCGGGGAGAGCTTTCTATAGGTGGGTTACCCAAGTGAGCAGGTTAGCGGTCGCGTGGTTGGCGAGGCTTCTGCGAAGAATTCTATCGGTTTTATAGCAAAGAGATAGGTTGCGCAAATGTGTTTGATGAGTCAGAATATAAGAAGGGGGTCTTACAGAAAGATTTTGAGAACTTTGGCGGTTGATTGCGCAAGGTTATGTCAATAAGAGATAAAGAGAACAGGTGAATTCCAGATTTATGGAATAATGGCTTCATGCTAAGTGGGAGAGTCCCACCGCTTATGACTGGGATTGCATAGTTAACTACTTGTGAGATTTTTGGCTATTAGCATATCGATGGGCTATTTCAGCTACGGGAAAGGACCATAAGTGGTAATTTGAGCAAAGGAAGTATCAAAGGAGGGCTATCGTTGGCCTTATTGGCCCATGTTCAGACTTGGAGGAAGATTCAGGATTTTTGCTACGTATAGATGCGGGTTCCAAGAGAAGTGATTCGGCGGGTTCTTCGCTAAGGGGGTATTCATGTGATGGAAGACTCATGAAGTTTATTATATTCGGGGCCAAGTCAGAGCGGGTGGCTCTCAACAACGGTCATGGTAAATTCACAAGATGAGGTGTGATGCCTAATGATTTCGAGCGTATAGTCACGGGTAAGAATCAAGCTTGTTAGCAGCCTATGAGAAGAGGCACAGAAGGTTCTGTGATGTTTTGGCTTGCGATGTAGCAATTGGGAGGTGCAAAAACAGTTCGTGGGATTTGAGACAGTATGGTCTCGCGGTTCAAGGTCACTCGGGGTGAGTGCGGATAGAGTGCGGTAGGTGTTGAATGGAGTTGTTATTGTTTCTAAGGCAATCAGGGTAAATCGAAAGAAGATAGATTGGTTAGCCTTAGCTTAGTTAGCATATTGGTGGTAGAGAGCAGCTCTTTCAGCGTGATTAAGTATGCAAGTGAATTGTGGCAGTACGTGTGAGGCCTGTCTGCCGCCGTAATTGATATTATTCAGAAGCATTCTTCTGTTATAGCTTGTTGTGTGGGAGCGGATTCCGGAAGGGCTATGGTGGCTTAAACCACTACCTAGATGTTTGCATATTCTACAGTTATAAGAATTTGCCTGTGTGTTGCTATGTTTCTCCTGAAGTGAGTTCAGTGAAAAGATTTCATATGATGAAGTGTTGACCTATTAGTGGTTCCGGAGTTATGATAAGAATCATGTTCTATCGTACATTGGCATGTCGGGTGCAGTGAGTAGTGTGGAATTTGAAGTGAGAATCAAGGTTGCAGTTCGGTGCAGACAAGGATGTCACAAGCTCGGATGAGCAGGAAAGGAGTTTTGATGTTTAAAGTAAGTTGGTATTATCTTCAGCGTCACCTGAGATCGGTGTTTTGTAAGAAGGGCTTGTATCATGGTTAATGATTCTTGATCGCTTTTCAGCGTTGGTGCGGCCGGTGGTTGGGAGGTACAGACCTGTTATGTGTTTCGAAAGGTTGTGGGAGCGCGTCCCACAGGAAGATTGTATAAGAGTGACATGTGGTCACTTAATTGATTAAATATTTAAACCAAGTATGAAGATTTGTGATGATATCGATAAATTGAGAATATATGCCTGGAGGGCACTCAGTTACTGAATTGTGGACTGTGGATGAGTACTCTATGACGGTTGTTCTTGTGTGTTATGAGAAGAGGGAAATTGGTAGGGACCTTTGAAGGGTTATTGGCTTAGTTTGATACGATCAGGATCGACTTAAGGTCGGTGGATGGATTAAAATGTGGATATGGGATCTATGTCAGGCCAATTGTGTTCATTTCAGCAAAGCGCTCCTTATGGAAGAATGGTCGGGGTGTTATATGGTCGTTAGCTATTTCATATAATGATGTATTGCGCCCTGCGAGTTGTGAGACGGCTTGGTGAATTGCTTATGTGATGAGGATCCGCGTAGAAATGATGTTATATGAGCAAAATGGCTCTTGAGATTCAGATTGTATATCGCACCTCAGTTGTGCTTGAGTTTTGTAGCTTGTAGCGCTATATATGTCCCCTCAGGGATGGTATATGCACCTAGCGTGCTTGTGACCGAAATTCGATATTTTATCGTAATGAGCAAATTTAGCTCGATGTGCAATCTCCTTATGCGAGATCTATGTGTGGATCGGGTGGCACGCCGCCATGGGTATGTTATTTGGATCGGGTTGCGCGCCGCAACAGTGTGATGTTGAGTATAGCTTTCTATATCCTATTTTTGTATGTCTCGCTTCCTATTTTCTAAGGAAAGTCCGTATTAGTGCGGGAGTTAGGTAATTCCTTCCAGAGTTTGTTTTCCTCTTGTATCGCGTTCGAATTGGTGGCCTATTGGCACACGGTAGCATCATATGAGACTTTTGATAATGTCTGGGGTGGCTTATTGCCTGAGCAGTTGTATCGGATGAGACAAGATCCCTTGATCTAGGATCGGTGCAATCCGACTATATGAAGTATATTATGGAGATAAGACCATTATTTGGTTCAGAATGAGGTGATGGTTTTTGTCAGGAGTATAGACCTAATGAATTGTCGACTCGGCAGTTGATTATGAATTTTTGCACATCTCTTCCGTCGTGGCGGTATTGTAAAGGTTAGAATAAGACATGTGTATGTCATGGGGTGCAATGGGAGCATCAGATTAGTAGGATTTTGACTAAGTTGATCAGAAAGGTTATTGTGGTCCGATGAGTAAAGTGATGCTAGGTGTGAACTCAGCAAAGTTATGCAGCCATATTTGGGTACATCGTGTAGTGATTATTATGGTGATCTTATGGTGGAAACATATCGGGCATAGATCGGAAGAGCA